ATTACAGAATTTTACAAAACAATTGACAGAAGTTTTCGGAAACTTTAGCGGAAACTTAGAACGGGTTTTATAACTAAATTATGGGTTAAGGTATTAATCCTCGGAATCCTATGACAACAATGAAATCAATTAATATAACTTAAAAACTTGATAAATAGGTTTTAGTCGGGAAATGATCTTTATATATGGAGTCATACCAAACATACACTCCATATATAGGAATCCGTTAAACACTTTTGCATTGACACAGCAAAACAATTGCAAACATTTCATTAAAAATATATATAAAATATGTATTAATAATAATGACTTCAATGAATACAATCTACTTATTATTATCAATATTTTGTGTGTTTAACGCAATTAAATGCTATCATGTTGGGAGCAGATGTGGATATCCAGGTCTACCACATAACACCAAAATAGATCTCGAGAAAGATGTTTACGAAGACGGCGATGTCGTGAGGTATAGCTGTCTTAACGATGAGCAATATGACAAGACACAGACCAAGAAATGTGTGGCCGGTGTGTGGTTAGGCCCGCGATCCACATGCGGCCGCTATATTAGGAATCAGTTAATGAACGTTAAAGTTATTAATCTGCAAAACAATAAGACCATTGTTGACATGATTACCAGTAATTACTCAAACAGTAAATACACGGCCAGTTATTACGACGGAAAGGCTACCGCAGTGCTGGTGCCCGACGCGCAGGTGGCCCACGACTGGCACTTTGAGTTCTCCAGTCCAATGGTCTTTGATTTTTTAAAGTTGCGTATCAATTTCCCAGAACTGGGTCTACAGGCCAGGGGTGAGAGCTATGAGATGATCAACTCAATGAGGGTCAGGAATGTTCGCGTAGAGGGCGAGGAGGACAGGAACTGTGCTCTCGATTTCAGTCGAAATAACAAATGGACTAAAATATTCTGGTTCTGGTGTACGGAAAGTGTGGCTAAAGTCCGGAACAAAACCCTTGAAATTAGATTCACAACATATTCGAGTCAAGCAATTACATCGATAGGATTGTACCAGGTCTACCTCAAGAAACTGCAATACTGTGGTCACCCAACTGTCCCTCTTATGGCCAAATATGATAAGGAGACCCAACGGGTTGTATGCGATCCCGACGTCTCCTATGACTTCAACTCTGGCGACAACTCTGATCTGATTGTATCTGAAGACCAGATGATGAATGACTGCGTGGACGACGAGTATTGGGCCGGTAGTCCTAAATGTGTGCCCAAACTATACTGTAGAGTAGAGTTCAATGAATTGTCCGAAGAGATAATGTCTGTGAAGAACGCGTATATCTTTGACACAAACAAATGGTATGCCATCGAAGGGACGTCCATTAGATTTAGATCCAACACCGCCCCCGAGATTTGTAAGACTATTCCAACATTAAAACCTGGATATAATGCTATTGCAGAAAAGTCAAGTACGAACACAATTAGTGTTATGGTATTAATAGTAGTGGTAATAATCGGTTTGGTTTTGGTGTTCACATCAGTATCCGGCTTATTATTGATGTATTGCAAGCATAAGAGACTGAAACGGATTAACCGAGAGATGGTATCCGATGTTTACGACGACAACCGTATGGATGACTACGAAGAGTGCGACTATAATATTGATCACAAATATGAAGACCCATACGATACGAGTGGTCATACAAATAATGTGGACCCGGATGGCGCCCCAATTTATCTGGAAATAACTAATACAACTCCTATCTAATGATATTTGTGCTGGCTACAATTTATATGTTAGATATTATTATTGTTTTACATTGTTGTTGTTTATCGCAAATATTAATACAGTATTGCTTAATTTAAATTTGTTCAATGGGATCGTCGACTATTAGAAATCAATAATTATAATTCATTCATAAAAGTTTTAATTTATTAGATTTTAAAATCGAAGCTTGTAACAATTTCAACTCTTGTATCGAATGTTAGAAGACTTTAAATATTTAATTCTTTTTAAATTTAAAATATTGTAATTTATATAATTATTAGAATAATAATAAATTAAATGGTATACTATTTGCCATATAAAGTATCATGGTAAAATTATAAATAATATGAAATGGTTTAGCATACGAATTAATGATTTTATTTATAATAAAAAGCAATCTGACAAATTTTATTCAAATTAATAATTTAATAATATGTGACCTGTGCTGTGATAACTTCCACCATTCTTCGGGGCATTGAATTCAACAAATCGATGATATATTGTCGCCATTGAGGCCTTCCATCGTGTTGTGAGCCCTTAACACCGCTTCCCACAACTGGTCTTCTGACTCAATGGCCTGGCGCTCAGTGCGAACCAAATTCTTAATCATTGCGCCAACATTTTCACACGCATTTAGATCAGGGCTGAGACTGATTTAAAAATAATTTTAAAATATAAATAATACATTTATTCTAATTATACCCTGAAGCCCTTAACACCGCTTCCCACAACTGGTCCTCTGACTCAATGGCCTGGCGCTCAGTGCGAACCAAATTCTTAATCATTGCGCCAACATTTTCACACGCATTTAGATCAGGGCTGAGACTGATTTAAAAATAATTTTAAAATATAAATAATACATTTATTCTAATTATACCCTGGATGTGGTAGAACGAAGTGCTCGATGGGACCGATGTTCTCGTTAATCCAATCCCTGACTAAATTTGATTTGTGAACGGGATGATTGTCATGCAATAAATGCACGTTCCCGTCATCAAAATGCCGATCAATCTCATGGAGAATTGAATCTTCCAAAAAGTCTGAATAAGACTTTTGTCAAACGATTGAGTCGATAAATGGGCCCAATTCCGTGGAAACTGAAACTAATTAAAAATTATAAGAAATATTCATAATATTAATATTAAATATTAATTACCTCGCAATGAATGAAACACTGAATCGTTGTGTTCCCTGAATTAATGCCATGTTTCGCTCTTTATATCGAGTGCTACGCGTACGTCAAACACAAACACGACCGCCTTCTCCAGTCGATATCCCAAATTCATCAATGAATATGACACGAGACCAGTCCACAAGTGTCCAGTTAACAAACTGTTCGGCATAAATAAGTCGCCTTTCCTTATGGAAATCTCGCAGCCGTTCTTTGATGGCTGCAACACGATGTCTGACACCCTATGATACAAATAATTAATAAGAATTCTGTAAATAAAATCATTATAAATACCCTGATCACTCAATCGCCTCCTAAGGGTACGAACACTTGCAGCTGCAATGTTTGCATTGCCTTGAATTTCTGGCAGTTGTCTCAACTCATTCAGATTAGCCCAGTTGTTGGCCAGTGCGGCGTCACTGTGTGATTGATCGTCCTCTGGTTCTGTGATCTTATAACGACCTCCACCTCTTGTGAAAGTAATGAACGGCAGTTCCTGGTCATCAATTTTGCACCACTCATAAGTTGGTTCACTGATCCCTAAAATTGAAAATTTTTTAATATAATTTACAAATCTTTAAATACATTTATTTACCAACGATTCGGAGAATCATCCGTTTCGTCGTCTCTTTTGCTCTCAATTTTATAATTTGTCTCAATTTGAGCTCACGTTTAATAACACTGAAACCCATATCAACTCAAATTTGGTTTAAACTTATTTGAATCAAAAATAACGTCTGCATGTGAAATCTTGTCAAAAATAATCCATTTTGTATTAACCATCAAATAAATATTTTACCCTGATGCTTTATATGGCACATAGTATACCATTTAATTACGTGATTATCCAGCTACATTTTGGTGAAAACAGATTAAAAATCGGATCATCCATTAACAATATATTTAATTTATTCTTACTAAAGGTAGATTTGGCCTAAATAGTATAATAATATGAGCTAGGGACAACCATAGTAACGTTAGCTATTTTATTAATACTTTAAAATCCAGTAATATTTTAACCTGATAAGTTATAATACTACTCGTTTACCCTTAAACCTATGAATATTTTATGAATAATTGACTTTTGGATAAAATTAATAATTAGATATAATAAATATAAAATAGTTAACGTTACTATGGTTGTCCCTAGCTCATATTATGTTCATTTCTATTCTGTTCACTATTACTGTTAACACTTCAGAAAATATATTTTATTTTAAAAATGACTGCAGTTATTATTAACAGTTGATGTACAGTAAAACTTGGTAAATTTAATTAACTTTTAAAATAAGTTTAATTTTGTTATTTATTGAAATAATCATTTTGAATACTTATAGAATTTGAAATAAAATTATTTTATTTGTAAATGAACATGCATTCATAAAAGTAAAGGAATTTTATTTAGTTAAACATTTATTTGATTACAGATAATTACCAATTAATTATAATCAAAAATAGGTTTTAAAACAGTTTAACGTCCATGTTTATTAGTAACAGGATTCTTTTTGCATTTTCCCCCGACACACATAATTGTAATTCCTGTCCCACAATCTGCATTTGTATTGCATCCTTTGACCTGGCGTACATTTCGGGCTACATTAAGCCAATTTTGAAATGACCACCGTTACTAAAAATACTATTTGAGACCACCTTGTTATTTATTATATTGCACAATACCGGCGCGTAACTTGTAATATTAAATAAAATATGCATAAATAAGTATACAGATACAATTGTTTTCAATTTATTAAAAATCATATTTAATTCATGAGGTGTTTAATAAGTATTTGAAAATGAATTAAATTAGCCAGATGTCAAAATTGTGATTAATGAACAAAAATATTAATTGGTTATTAATTAACTGTATATAATGCTGTCGTCTGGTATAAATATAATTTAATATAAAAATTTTATTTTAATGAACTTTTAAACACATTTTTTGGGTTCATATATAGTACAGTATTCATAAATGATATTTTTATGACAATATAATAAATTTAAAAATCTTACAATTGATACCGGAGTATAATTTGCGAGCCAAATGATTGTTTAGACTAGTTATCATATAACTATTTTATGCCGAAAATTATAACATAATTAAAAGAATTTTATAAGTTTTATATATAGCATTAGTAATACATTGATGGTGAGTTACAGTAATACATATTATGTAAGATGAGAGCATTTAGGATTGCATAGACATTTGTATAGCTTATTTAATTGTTTTTTGAATATCATCATAAATATACAGAACTGGTGCACTGAAAGCATTGTGTGAATTGAGTCTTGAAATAGGTGTGGATAATGAGAATACTGTTGAGTCTATCGTTGACTATCACTGCAAAGAGTTTGTCAATCAATGGCCACAACTCAAGAGATACCGATTGGATATGGATGAGGGCCTGAATACACACTTTTTGGGAAATTAGCATCGATTAAGAAATCCTATTAGTCAAATCATATTATAATGTATTAAAATCTTCTAAGAAATTATTAAATGTTAACATTGTTTGCAATATTAAACACATATTAATATATTATATTATGTTATAATATTCTGTAATTTAATTTTCTCTCTAAACGTGTCATTCATTTTGAAAGTGTTTTGTTGATTATTATAAGAGAAAAGAGATCTTTTTAAATGAGATTTTAAAGAAGAATGTCAGGATCTGGCTAAGCTGGCAATCGGGAAATTTTGATTGGATATGAAAGTCCATTCAATGTTGAGTCGGAATATGTAATTTATATTGTCCTGTGACCTCAGGTTCGGTCTCAGTGACCACTTTTATCGGGAAATTTTTCCATATAAATATGGTCATGTGATATATCAATTTTATAGAGAATTTTACACAGAATACGATGGTATAAATTATAATTTATTTATTCCAGAATTTACATTGTTACAAAGCCATATTTAGAATATTAAACAAATATAATTGTTTATTAGATACAAAATATTATAATACACTCCCACACCACCCTCCAAATCCAACAAATACCCACCCAACTGAACTCTTAACCCTCCACCAACCCCCACCATCCTACTCGCCAGTCACAATTTAAGTTATTCTTGCTCTTCCCCCTTCAATTCCACACACACATCATTTAAGAATGCGGCGGGAATTGGGATCTCGGATTGGTGGCGACCAAATCCGAGGTACAACAGAACTGTGGTCACATGAGCACAACAGCCCACAGTTCTGAGGCCATTAGGGCAAGAGCAACAAAAACCAGATACAGCATCGACACCGTCCTTCTCCTCATCTTTCAGGACAAGCCTGTCGATGAGGATATAGATGAAATATCTGGGAAGAACGGTGTCGAGACTGAATCCGCCCTCGAATCAACATTGGGTCACCAACTGAGGCCATGGGAGCTAAGTGGTAGATTCCCTATGTGTTTGCACACATCTACCACATAACTCAATGGTCAATTTCTTTTTAATTATTAATTTAATATGAATTTTATTTAAACCATGGTATTCTACGTAAAATTCTCTATAAAATTGATATATTACATGACCATATTTATATGGAAAAATTTTCCGATAAAAGTGGTCACTGCGACCGAACCCGAG